TCACTTTTAGTACACTATGTTGGCAATTGTACGAGTTTTGATTAAAAGTGACAATTTAGTGGACCATTATTGATGACACCCTATATGATGGACCTTTTTCGGAAAATGGTCAACATAATGGACTAAAAATAAAATTTAGCCAAAGTTGGAATAATCAAGACTGCAGAACAATTTAATAAATTACTAATTGCATTATTAACACTCGTTAGACACAAAAGTGTAAGATCCCCCATATCTAGTAGATTTCATTTCATTTAAAATGATGGTGGTTGTTAAAAGAATTTTATGCTGCACTTAAAATGATCTATACTCAACCAAGAACTTGATTCCTAATGGGTTAATGATGATGTCCTGTCAGAATATCGATCAATATGCACCAATTATAATACCATTACATAAGTTAGTAATCAGCAATGCCTTCGGTGGGCACATGTTAATATGCCCCCCGCTTATGTGGCATGTACACATTGGTGATGTTAATATGTTCAAAAAAATACATCACCAATGTGTAAGCAAAAATTCAAAATTGGTTATATAATTAGGCCACTGTCCAAAAAACCACCCCTATATTGACCACTTTCAATTTAGATCATATAATTTATCAATTTCATTAATTTTGGTCTTTTTTATCCGTACCCTCCTAGATTAAAAAGTGACGTGGCAACTCATTTTGCATACATACAATAGAGGAGTTGGGATTGAGCTTACAATGACAACTCATTTTGCATACATACAATCGAGGAGTTGCAATACATATTAAAAAAATGAAGAAAAAAATATAGGGAGATGTTACGGTCCCGTTACGGAACCATTCCGTTGGAGTTTGTAACTGTTAGATCAACTATCCCCAACAGTCACATGATGATCTAACAGTTACAAATCTCGACGGAAATATTCATGTTCATCTCCAAGCTTTTTCCAATTTCCATGAACCGTCATATCACTAAAACACGACCAAGAAATAAATCATGAAATAATCAATCACACACTACATGTCTTCAAAATGTTCAAAGTGATGATATATAGAAAAAAATATTGGTAATTGAGCCGAAACTCTTCTACTTATACTGGTGCACAAAAGGGTCTGAAGAGCCTTCTTCGCCACCTTTATTTCCCATAAAGTAACCACCCATCTCTGGTGGGCCAAACAACCCATAACTACTACGGTCCACCCTGGAAGGCACGTAACCTTGAAATGTATGTGCATGATGCGCCGGTGACTGGCTGTGGACTCCACGGTGCCTGTCAAGGAAAACGGAGAGGGGCTGCACGTAGGTGGAGAAGCCGAGTGTGGCCATGGCAGAGAGGACATCGTCGGGAGTGACCGTCTTGCGGTACTCGCGGTGGCAGCGCTGGTTGGCCTCGCTGGTGACAAAGCCTATGAACTCGGAGACACACTCCTGGATCGTCTCCTTGGCATCGTCGGCGATCTTGGCATGGTCGGGAAGGACCCGACGCATGATACGTGTCACGTTTGCAATTGGCATGTATTGGTCTGGGTCCCGCTTGAACGACTGTTGCGGGCTGGCGGCCAGCCTTGTTGTTGCTGCTGTTGCTGCGTTTGCTTGAATTACATCTGTACGGATATTATATTTGAAATCATTTATTATAATATCAAATTTATTACGTTGAAAAATGTAATCATTTATGTGGAACTTTTATTATGTATATACAATTGGTAATTATTCGAACTAATTATTATATGATAGAATGTTTAATAAAAATAGTATTATACATATTTAATGTAAAATGTAACGGTTAATCGAAAAACAAAATGAATGGAATAATGGTATGTATCGAGTAGCCTATAATTATATATAGTAGTACTCAATTTGTACATGCACAAATATAAATAAAAAAATTATAAGTTATATGGATATTATAGCTACTATATAAATTACATCACATTTTATAAATCTGATCATTATAAAAAGTTACCAATATAATTATAAAATATATTGTTTATACAATATAAATATAAAAATTGTATGAAATATAATGAATAATTAATGTAAATTTTATAAATTTAAAGGACCAGAACTATTTAATTAGTTGAAATTAAATGTTATATTACAATTATTGTAGAAATTATTTGTGCAATTTTATGGGTTTTTCTATTCTATTAAAATTAATTAGTTATTTAAAACTTAATAGATGAGATGGAAACAAAAATGATAATATAAGTTTTAAAATGAATATCTTCAAGAAAAATATTGCTATAGAATTATTTATAAGTGTGTAACTTTCATAAATCTTTTAGTATCATGATATAACTAGTTAACTTTAATAGTAATTTTTATATGATTAAATTGTTTGTAAAAAATATTATTATCTCCTCCTACATATTAATGAAGAATGTCTCAATACTAGGGTCTACTTCATGTGCTTTGTAATCTTATTTGTTGAATTTTGTTGTTTCCTAATCTCGATACGTTTTATATTTATTATTCATTTTTTATATATGATATATCAAATCAGTCATCTTTTTATGAGCTTGGATTTGGTACCCAGATTGTAACTATAAATTAATATTTTTAATTTTCTTCATTATAAAATTAAATCATCTATTATTGTGTAGTACTATTTAAAAAATAATAAAAATATATATCAATTAAAAATTTTATCTATAAATTGATGACATACGGATTAAAAATTATTATATTATATAAATGACAAATCTTACGAGTAAGAAGTCTCATTTTAAATATAATTAATAATGTAAGTTCTTAAAAAGTACTAAAAATTTAAATGAAAAAACCTCTCTGTTACACATTTTTAACAATGCAATTTAAAAATAAAAAATAAAAATCTTATATATATATATATATAGGGGAGGATCCAATGAGTCCACTACTTAAAATGAGTTCACTCCTTAAAATATATATTAATTAAATAATAAAATAATTATTAGTTGACTCCGGCGTTGACCGTTGACTTTCGGCGAAAATCGTTGACTCCGGCGTTGACTCCGCGTTGGCCGTTGACTTCCGGTGTTGACATGTTGCCCTTGGTTTGCAATATGTATGAAGTAAATATGCATCCAGTACCATGCATTCAATATGAACTAAATATGCATGAGATATGAATTGCACATGCAGTCCTTATGAACTAAATATGCACTAATAATATCTACTAAATATGCACCTGTTAATAACTAAATATGCATCTGTTATGAACTAAATATGCATCATGAACGAACTAAATATGCAGCGAAAAATATGCAATAAAAATGTACATTTTATATAGGTAATTTATGATGCATATTTAGTTAATTTATTATGAATATTTGGGTAATTTATGATGCATATTTAGTTAAAACGAAATGCATACTTGTTATATTTAAATTAAATATATAATGATGTTTATATAGTTAATATATGATGCATATTTAGTTAATTCATGATACATATTTAGGTAATTCATGCAAACCTAAGAATATTTAGGTAATTTATGATGCATACTTAGTTAATACGAAATGCATACTCGTTATATTTAAATTAAGTATATCATGATGTTTATATAGTTAATATATGATGCATATTTAGTTAATTCATGATACATATTTAGTTCTTACGAAATACATATTTAGTTCATGAACAGTGCATACCTATTTTAATTCAGATCCGATCATAACAATTTATTTGTGTTATTAAACAATTTAAAATTAAAATTAATTATATAATAAAAGTCATTAATTATTATATATAATTTAATTGTATAAAATGTGTATTTTATTGCATATTTTCGTTGCATACTTAGTTCATTCATGATGCATATTTAGGTAGTAAAATGTGCATATTTAGTACATAAACAGTGCATACATAGTTGATATTATTGGTGCATATTTAGTTCATAAGGATAACATATATAATTCATTTCTGATGCATATTTAGTTCATACTAAGTGCATAGTACTGATGCATATTTACTTCATACACAATGCATACTAAGGGTCAAAGGTCAATGTTGAAAGTCAACGACGGAAGTCAATGGCTGTTTATTGTATTTTTGTGCTTCTTTTTATGTGTTTTATGTGTGTAGTTGAGTCGGTTTTAGGTTGGTTTTCTTGTCTAACCGGTCCATTTTAGTTGATTCTGTGTGTTTTCATTTTCTCTTTGGTGTTTGTATTTTGGCGTACTTTCTCGTGTCTTTGGTGCAATTTTTAGGTCCATTTTGGAAGATGAAAAGAAGAATCGAGCCAAGTTCCGAGAGCATGAACCATTCCGAGAACCCCCGAGCCATTATCGAGTCATTACTGTGCAAGAGATCCGGAAGTCTAGTTCGCCTAGCGAACGTGTTCGCCGCATAGCGAGTGTGCACAAGACCCACAAGACCAGTTCGCCTAGCGAACGCGTTCGCCGCCTAGCGAGTGTGCACAAGATCACAAGACCAGTTCGCCTAGCAAACGCGTTCGCCGCCTAGCGAGTGTGCACAAGACCACAAGACCAATTCGCTTAGCGAACTAGTTCGCTACCTAGCGAGTGCTAAATTGTTAAATGTGTGTGTTTTAGTGTGTGTTTGTGGTGTAGCTATAAATATATATTTTGCTTTGTATTTTTGACAACAACCCTCATTTCCCAACTTTTAAGTTGGGAATTCCTCTCTATTTTCTTTTTTTCCTTTTTTATATTTTGGTTTGGAGCTTATGAATCAAGTTTTCCGGCGAATTTCCGGCGACCTTGTTTCGAGTAAAGTTTCGAGCTTTTGACTCTGTTTCTTCTTCCAAGTGCGTATAAGAGTGGATACTTAGTTTTAAGCCTCATTACTTCGTATATCTTTGTTTGCTTTCGTGAAAATTGATATTGTGTTTGTGTTGGTTGGAGGAAAAGACCGAATCTTTGGATCGTGAATGCTTGACTAAGTGTGACTAGGAGTTAAATGCTTGCTCGTTTGTGCTAGAGTTTGGTTTAGCTACCTAGGGTTTTAGCTAGCATGACAATGTTCGATTATTTGTGTGTGTTTGATCATGGAGACTCCAGCGAACCAAAATCTCTTTTTCCCTCTTAAATTCTCTCATCTCTTAGCGTGCTTTAATTGCTTTCAATGCTCTCAATTTCGTAGATTAGTTTAGCTTAAATCAATTCCTTTCAAGCGAGTAGAATGTGTAGAACCTTCTTTTCGGTTGTGTGACTTTGACGACTAGGTAGTGAACAAAGCTCCGAAGAGCCTTCCTTTGAGAACGACCCGAGTCGGGTAGCTCGGTTACCACATGCCCAAAAATACTACAAACAACGGCCAACGTCGAAAGTCAACGATTTTCGCGGGAAGTCAACGATCAACGCTGGAGTCAACGGTCAACGCCGGAGTCAATGGTCAATTGTCAAAATAGTATTTAAATAATTAAAATAATAAAATAAAGAAATAAGTAATAAAAATAAAGAATTATTATTTAATTGAAGAGTTAATCTTAGCCACACATAATGTACCAATCTAATGGTTA